GAAGAGGAACCATTGATGAGCACCCTTTGGGTTCGGTCAGTCAGCCAGTTACAAATCCACTGAGTGGTAGCATAGTCAAGACCGCATTTTACCAGCTTCTTTACAAGAATATCATGGGGCACCTTGTCAAATGCCTTGCTGAAATCAAGGTAGGCTACATCCACTGCGTTCCCTTCATCTACCAGGCTTGTAATTCTGTCAAAAAACGAGATCAGGTTAGTCTGACATGACTTATTTTTCAGAAATCCATGCTGACTATTGGTGATCACAGCATTCCTTTCTAGGTGCTCACAGACTGTTTGCTTAATGATCTGCTCCAGAATCTTCCCTGGTATTGATGTCAGACTGACTGGGCGGTAATTATTTGGGTCCTCTCTTTTCCCCTTTTTGAAAATAGGGACAACATTTGCCCTCCTCCAGTCTGCCGGGACTTCGCCTGTTCTCCAGGAATTCTCAAAGATGACTGCCAGTGGTTCTGAGATCACATCTGCCAGTTCTTTTAATACTCTTGGATGCAGTTCATCTGGCCCTGGAGACTTGAATACATCTAAACTAGCCAAGTATTCTTGTACTATCTCCTTAGTTATTCTGGGCTGTGTTTCCTCTGCTGAATCATTTGCTCCAAATTCTTCAGGTCGGGCATTGTTTTCTTTATCGGAGAAGACTGAGGCAAAGAAGGCATTGAGGAGTTCAGCCCTTTCTCTGTCCCCTGTTTGCATTTCACCATCTTCTCCGCTCAGTGACCCCACTGTTTCTTTGTTCTTCCTTTTGCTACAAACATACCCATAAAAGCCTTTTTTGTTGCTTTTAACCTCTCTAGCAAGCCTGAGTTCATTCTGTGCTTTAGCTTTTCTGACTTTGTGTCTACACGTACTAGCTATTTGTTTGAATTCCTCTTTGGTGGTTCCCCCCTTTTCCATTTTTTGTACACATCCTTTTTTAATCTTAACTCAGTTAAAAGTTCTTTAGATAGCCACCCTGGCTTCTTTAGGCACCTTCCATGTTTCTGTCTCATTGGTATTGCCTGAAGTTGTGCTTTTACTATCTCCCTCTTAACAAACTCCCAGCCTTCATGAACTCCCTTTCCTTTTAGTATTACTGTCCATGGGATCTCACCCAGCACTTCCCTAAGTTTTATGAAGTCGGCTTTCTTAAAGTCAAGAAATTGAGTCCTAGTATGCTTGGCTGCTCCTATCCGCTGTATAGTAAACTTCAGAAGAGCATGATCACTCGCGCCTAATGATCCTTCCACTTCTACCCCACTAACCAGGTCATCAACATTGGTTAGGACCAGATCTAAAATGGTTGTTCCTCTTGTTGCTTCTCCCACTTTCTGGACAATGAAGTTGTCTGCACGGCCAGTGAGGAATCTGTTTGACCTTATGCTCTTGGCTGAGTTTGACATCCAACAAATATCCGGGTAATTGAAGTCCCCCATTACTACTCCCTTCCTTTTGCATGCTTGGCCATCTGTTCCAGGAAGGCATCATCTATGTCCTCCGTTTGGCTTGGGGATCTATAGTAAACTCCCACAATGAGGTCACTGTTATTCTTCTCTCCCTTAATTTTGACCCAAATGCTCTCACTTTGGCTTTGAGGTTCTAAATCTTAAATCTCTTCACAGGTATACACATCCCTGACATATAACGCCACTCCTCCTCCTTTCCTTTCTTGTCTGGTCTGTTTCTCTGAAATAGATTGTATCCCTCCATTATTACATTCCAATCGTGGGACTTATCCCACCAGGTTTCAGTGATGCCTATTATGTCATATTTAGTTTGCTGTACCAAGAGCTCAAGCTCATCTTGTTTATTTCCCATGCTTTGCGCATTAGTGTACAGACATTGAAGTCCATTAAGCATTGCCCCGTGTCTCCTATTTAAGGATTTTTTCCTCCCACCACTAGGTCTGTTTGCTCCATTTGGTCTATGACATTTGGATGCTCATCTTCATCAATTGATAGACTCCTACCTTCAGGAGCACTGTCTCCCTCCCCCACATTAGTCAGTTTAAAGCCCTCCTGATGAAGTTTCTGAGATTTTTGGCAAAAACATTCCTCCCAACCGTTGTGAGGTTTAGCCCATCGCTTGCCAGAAGTCCATCTTCAAGAAACTGCAGTCCGTGATCTAAGAATCCAAACCGTTCCTGTTTACACCATTTGCGAAGCCAGCTGTTCACTTCCACTATTTTTCCCTCTCTCCCTGGGCCACGTCGTTCAACTGGGAGGACAGATGAGATGACAATTTGGGGATCTATAGTAAACTCCCACAATGAGGTCACTGTTATTCTTCTCTCCCTTAATTTTGACCCAAATGCTCTCACTTTGGCTTTGAGGTTCTAAATCTTAAATCTCTTCACAGGTATACACATCCCTGACATATAACGCCACTCCTCCTCCTTTCTTGTCTGGTCTGTTTCTCTGAAATAGATTGTATCCCTCCATTATTACATTCCAATCGTGGGACTTATCCCACCAGGTTTCAGTGATGCCTATTATGTCATATTTAGTTTGCTGTACCAAGAGCTCAAGCTCATCTTGTTTATTTCCCATGCTTTGCGCATTAGTGTACAGACATTGAAGTCCATTAAGCATTGCCCCGTGTCTCCTATTTAAGGATTTTTTCCGCCCACCACTAGATCTGTTTGCTCCATTTGGTCTATGACATTTGGATGCTCATCTTCATCAATTGATAGACTCCTACCTTCAGGAGCACTGTCTCCCTCCCCCACATTAGTCAGTTTAAAGCCCTCCTGATGAAGTTTCCGAGATTTTTGGCAAAAACATTCCTCCCAACCGTTGTGAGGTTTAGCCCATCGCTTGCCAGAAGTCCATCTTCAAGAAACTGCAGTCCGTGATCTAAGAATCCAAACCGTTCCTGTTTACACCATTTGCGAAGCCAGCTGTTCACTTCCACTATTTTTCCCTCTCTCCCTGGGCCACGTCGTTCAACTGGGAGGACAGATGAGATGACAATTTGTGCATTTAATTGCTGCAATTTCCTGCCCAGAGCCTCGTAGTCTCTTTTGATCTTCTGGAGGCTAATGCTTGCAGTGTCATTGGTTCCCACATGAACCAAGAGGAAGGGGTATTTGTCAGTGGGTTTTATGGTTCCTTGCAGTCGTTCAGTTACATCTTGGATCTTAGCCCCGGGGAGACAGCACACTTCCCGAGAAATCTTGTCAGGCCCACAGATCACTGCTTCTGTTCCCCTCAGTAGGGAATCCCCTATCACCACTACACGCCTCCTCTTAGGTCTGGTCGGGGTTCTTCCGTGAGCTGTCCGTTCCAAGGTCGCCTGCACATTCCCTGAGGACTGACTTTGCTGCTCGTCTTCATATACCTGATCGACTGTAATGAGGGAGAGATCCTCAAATGGAGTCTGCTCTTCGTCTTCCATGCTAGGGAGAGGACCTCAAAGCGATTGTGTATTTCTAAACAATCAGAGCGAACCCTGGGCCTCCTACTTCTTTGAGTCACGTTTCTCCATATATCTGGCTCCTGTGTTGGTGAACTAGCCTCCTTCTCAGGGGAGTCCCCTGTCTCCTCCTTGGTGGAGACGGTGTGCTCTGTTGCTTCCAAGAAGAGCTCCAGCTCTCTAATTCTTTGGAGCGTACCCCAACAAACGTTTGAGAACCCCAACAAACGTTTGAGAAAGAGTAGAAGAAAGAGATCAGGCTGTTGATCTTCACACACACACACACACACACACACACATATATATATATATATATATGGGGGAAGGGAGCGGAGATGGGGAACGGAAAATATGCATTTTATAACATTTAGGCTAGGTATTAGTTAGTGGCTTGCAATGCAGTGAGGTCGTTTCTTCCTGCTGCATTTCAAGTCACAATTTTATGTTGCTGTACACACCAGAGAGGGGGAGGGGATACACATTAGTTGTTTGGTTTCCTCACAACAGAAACTCTCCCCTAAACTCCTATTCAGTGAAGCTGTCACCTGGACATGCAATGTATGTCTGAAATGCACACATTTCAGCTTAACCACAGCTTGCTTTTCAAATCAGGTAGAAGCCTATTTCAAGAGAAAGAGCCTTATGTCTCAAGATATTACAGGATACATATGGATTGGACTAATGTCATGCATACTCAGCTTCACACACCAGTTATGAAGAATACTAGAGCCATATTAAATAGTAATGTGTACACAGCCTCAATTTCCTGGACAGAGAGAGACTTTCTGAGGTCTCTCTAAGAGCTGTATGGAATTGGGACTATAGAACTTCCTGTTACGTTGGTCTCAAGTTTTCCAGGCCAAATTGCCCACCCCAGTGCTATGTCTACCTCAAGCTAGGCCTCATCCTACTATCCCAAATACATCACCTTCTTGTTTCTCTGAAGAAACAGTCTCCCAAAAAGTATTTGTTCTATGTCTGTTGTCCAACATGCCTTCACATTTGCCTGGCAGTAACTCCTGAATTACCGTATTTTTCGCTCTAGAACACGCACCCGACCATAACACGCACGTAGTTTTTAGAGGAGGAAAATCCGTAGGCATGCCACCCGTAGGCATTCCCTCCATAACACGCACAGACATTTCCCCTTACTTTCTAGGAGGAAAAAAGTGAGTGTTATGGTGCAAAAAATACGGTATTTTTCTAAACGTCCATGGCCATGTGTTATCTCTCTTTCTCTCCTCTCTGCTTTCCCCAACTTGCTCAAATCTCCTGACATGTATGCTACTGTGAGTGACACTTTCTCGGAAAGGATAGAATATCACACTGGACAAAAATGCTTTTCTTCCTGAGGTTAAAGCCCTAAACCCTACACAGACCCTCAACTATACATGAGCCTGGTATTGAATGAGAGAACAACCAAAATAACAATACATTCCATGGCGCAAAACGAGACATTATAGGAAAGATCAAAACAATACATGGTTGCAGGTAAGACATCTTTAATGGCAAATCAGACCTTCTTTTGCAACATTTGCTACTAGAGTATAAGGCAAAGAGGTCTCTTGGAAATCTGTCAAGTTCTCAGCACCTTCCCAAATGTTGGAGCGACAGAGCCCCTTTGCTCTTCCTGGAAAGAAAAAGGTAACATATATTGAAATTATTACTGTGGGTAACTGGAATCGTAAAAGAAAGTTATATAAATTTTCTTTTCTATTTTAAGAGCAGCTCTTCATTTGAGAATCACAATAACTTGCATTCCATCTTGTCCCCTAGAACTGCAAGGGAACATTTTGGTTCCTAATGTAAGCCATTTTCGCCACAGAAAATCAGTCAGAATTCTGACTAGTAAAATCTTCCCATTTAAATAAACACAACAGACATTGCAAGTGGAACTGTCAATATGAGCAGCGTTGTTTCGGAATACCTTACTTCAGCAACATCTGCACTATGCAGCAGCGTACTTTGTTAAAGATCCCTTCAGAGAGCTACAATTCCCAGAGAATTCCTTATGCCATGGAACTCTGGGAATTGTAGTTCTGTAAGGGGAATAGAGTTTCTAACAACTCTCAGCTGCAAACAACAGACTACACTTCCCAGGATTCCTTAGGAGAAACCATAGTTTAAAGTGGTATGTATAGTCTGGGTGATGCCATAGTTGCTTGGCAAATCATGGGTCGATCAGTAACACAGACACCATATTTTTGTGAGAGTTTACAAATTAGGAAAAAACTTCAAAGTATAGTCTGGATCAGGGGTCAGCAAACTTTCTCAGCAGGGGGCCCTCAGACCTTGTGGGGTGCTGGACTATATTTTGGAGAGAAAAATGAACGAATTCCTATTCCCCACAAATAACCCAGAGTTGCATATTAAATAAAAGGGCACATTCTACTCATGTAAACCACACTGATTCCCGGACCATCCGTGGGCTGGATTTAGAAGGTGATTGGGCTGGATCCGGCCCCTGGGCCTGAGTTTGCCTACCCATGGTCTGGATGGAAGCATGATTATGAGACCATATTTTTATGCCTTTCAACTGACAAAAGTGAATCAAGGAATTTGAATATGTGACTGTATCCCAGCTCTGGAGAATCACTGTTGTTGTTGTCGTTACCTCACACATCTGAGTGGGTTGCCCCAGCCACTCTGGGCAGCTTCCAACAAAATATAAAAACACAGTAAGGATATATGTATGGTGACTACTTCTCATCCTACCAAAACTTTCCCAGTGTCATCGTAAGTAGATACGGAAGAGTTTGGAGGTTTTGAATATATCTTTCTCTTCTATCATGTTATCATCACTTTAATTTGTTTTATAAAAAGAAATAATTATTTCTATACGTACCGGACATTAAAGCAGAAATTACACTGGTTGCCATAGACCTTTCCATCAGAACCACAGTGAGGCATATATTCCAGGGTGCAGTATGTTTTATCTGAGCCAAAGTCCTTGCAATAGTCCTGCAAAAAGAGTGGCATTCTAAATCTGTCACCCTGTTAAATAAAACTAAGTTCCACTTTACAAAAGAAATAGTGATGTACCCACCAAACTTTTACATTTGCTCACCAGCTCAACATAACTTCTTTTTTAAAGTGCAATTTGTATTCAATTTTGTAGAGTCATACATATTTGCAACAAAGAAACAAAAACCAAAAAAATGAAGAAATAGGAAATACAACAGTCATAATTTCATATGCATTATATTATCTCAAATAAGTATTTTGGTTCATGTGAAGCATGTGCTTTGTTATGTCAGTATTCAATAGACTTTACCCAATTCTGTCTAAACATACTAAGTTTATGCCTTCTTTCACTCTTGATACCTTATTAAAAAATTCCATAATTGCAAAAATGTAGGGTTTTTTCCTTCTGATTCTGTTATGAGAGAGATTGATACCTGCCACTCCCAATATCTATAATAACACGATCATGCTGTTTACCTGAATCTGAATACATTGACCTCCATACTTCACAGCCACATTCTTGTTGGATTCCCTGGGTAAGAAAGAGAGAAAAGTTGACAAATTCTTTCCTGTAGTTCACATTACTAAAACAAACTATGTTTAGTTCTTCAGAACTGCTACAGGCAAAGCTTGACTGAGCTGGTTCTATAATTTGTATCCTTGAGCTCCTTCATCTGTTACAGATCCTTTGTCCTCCTGCTACACAAAGTTATTGGGACTCCTATGATTCTGCTAAGGAGCCAGTTTCACTTTATCCACAGCATGTAGGCCTGGTTTCACATCCCTGATTAGCGTTGGTGGTTATTGGATTGCATTGCGCCAATCATCATTTATCATTCTCTTGATAACCAATCATTGGATTGTGAGAATACAATGGGATTGGTCTCATGGAAGCCACTGTGTAAGCTTGGAAAGAAGGTGGGAGTGGAAAAGGGCCAAATATAAAAAATATAATGAGATTTCATTATAAAGAATCATAGTCATTATCCGTTGCCTGGGGGGAGATGTTCAGTATCCACTTACAGGTTTTGACGACAAAGATCACATTTACTGACATAAGTGTTGTCATCTGTTCCGCAGACTGGTTTAGCGATTTTGGGGCAGAGCATGAGTCCTTTCGCTTGCCTGAATTCACTGCAATCCATCTATAAAAGAAACATGTAGCATTTTGTTGTACCCAGCAGTCCTCTATATAATGTCCTTTGCACATTCATGTTTCCAGTTTGTTTGTTTTTTAATTCTAAACATGGAAAAAGAAGAGTGAACTTTCAATCTACCATTTCCTTTTACATGCCTTTTTATTTCACAGGAGGAAGAAGGAACATATGAATCACTAGACCAAATAACATTGATAGGACAAAATTATCCAGTGTGGCTTTTTTTTCCTGAAAAGCACAGGCATCCTGATTTCTTGACATTAGTATATTTTCTGACAATCTAATTCAAGCCTGTTTTTATTTATTACTTGCGTATATTATAAAAAAAGTAAAGTGTACCAGGAATAAAACTTACACCTTGTTGTTTTTTTTAAATGATATTTATTAAAGTTTCACAAAAATACAGAAAACAAAGAAAAAAGTGTAAATTACAGCAAAAAAGCAAAAGTAAGAAAAAACATACAAAATAAAACAGTTAAAAACACAATAATGTTCCATAACCTATCTTCCTTACTCTTATTTCCCCAGACCTCCTCATACCTCCCTTCTTTGTATTCCAATTCAGTTTGTTGGTTCAGCAAATCCTTACCATTAAAACTTACACCTTGGGCCTTTGCTGTTGTTTACATATTGTTTCCCAATTCTGCACATGGGGAAATGTCTATCACATTCTTCATATGTGCAAAGCAAACATTTTGCACCCACACAGATTGGGTTGGTGTGGGATGCAGTTCTGTGCGCTTACACAGAGAGCTCTTAATGCCCACCCCCAAATTCTCTCTTTCTGTAGTAATGGCAACCTCCAGCACATTCGTACCCCTAATGTTCATGTTTGATGTATTGACAAGTTGAGTTTTCAAACTTCTTCAATGTGGAAGGCATAAATGTTTGGTCATAATGAATCGCACTGTTATCTACCATCAGTAATGCATTTGATTTGGATAGCTATTTAGCTGTATTTTCTTCAGTGTATTAAGGGGGCTTGTGGCTGTCCTTAGAATCATTGGGGGGGGTTTAGGGGGGGTAATCCAGGACTAAGGCATCCTCAACAAATGATGGTCTAGCTTCTGCTTTAAGGCCTCAAGCCTACCACCCTTCTCAGTAATTCATTCATTGTTCAACTGCTATGACCACCAAGTAGTTTCTTCCAATTTCCCACTAAAACCTATCCTCCGATAACTTGAGCACATTCAATCTAGTTTTGCACTAGTTCTCTGGGGCAGCAAAGAACAATATTTACTTCTATGCCACAGTCCTTCAAGGATCTGGAGTGCTATTACATCCCTCATCATCTCCAAGCTAAACCTATCAAGTATTCTTTCCATTTGTCCTTCTAGGACCTGTTTTCCATAGTGCTGATGTTCTTAATTGCCACCCTCTGAACCTGTACCAATTGAGTTACATCATTCTTAAAATGCAGACACAGTATTCCAGATGAGGTTTATGTGGAACTGGCAAAGCTAACAGCGAAAATAACAGATCAAAATGATGGACAATTTATGGTAAGCTTACCAGATTTTTTTCAATGAATCTGGGGACACTTTCAACTTCAGTAGGAATGATAGGATTTTGTCAGGGGACTGATTTATAAATCTGGGTATTGTCCCCAGGAAATGGTGATGTCTGGTTACCTTAATTTATGGAAGAGTGGAAGCCTTTTGGGGATTATTTGAAAAAAATATCATAACCAAATGAAATCGAGGCCAGGATTTGAAATTTGAGCAACAGGAAGAAAATGATAATACATGAAATAGAGGAATATGTATTAGATGCAATGTGAGATATAATAAGGGAATATGTATTAGATGGAGCATGTGATATTATGCAGTATGTGGGAGGAAGGCTTTAAAAACAGCTTGAAAGCAAAGGTGAGAAGTCAAATTATAAGAGAAATGTATAACAAATTTGAAATTAATTGGTTAAAGTTATGAGAATTTAATAAAAATCTTAAGGAAAATAATAGTATTCCAGATGAAGTCTGATTAGTGCTGAATAATGTGAAACTAATACTTCCAGCTGCTCAGAAATTATGAGAAATTATGATTCTATTAAGGTAGCCTAAAACACAGTAGTTTTGGGGGGCACTACATCACACTATGTGCACAGTTCTAGCATGGGTTTGCTCAGAATCATACATTAGGGGTACAAATGTGCTGGAGGTTGCCATTACTACATAAAGAGAGAATTTGCATCCCTACTGAGGAATCAAGGCAAATGGACTTGCATGCAGTTTATGGGAAGCCAAATACCTTTGAGGAATTTGTAAATGAGGTTTGTTCCCATTATTCACAGAAGCTAATAGCCATTATTCTCAGGCCCATTTCAAGAGCTAATTTTCACCTGTGAAGACTTATATAGCTCAGGGCCCTAATATGGTACACGTTATGGAACACCTTTCCCCATATTAGCCTGCCCATGCCCTGAGGTCAGCATCAAGACTCTTCTCTATGTGCCCCTCTGGCAGCTATCAGGAAGAGGGTGGCAACAGGGGTAAAACTAGGCTTTATTTCTCCCAAGTCAAAGACCCAGTATGGCCAAAATATAAACGCAAACCCCCCCCCCAAAAAAAAACCCCATGCACATTTTGCACACCCACAGGCTGGGAGCCTCAGTGCTGCTCCTCTGGGGGCTTCACCCAGGGAAAAAAAAAATGGCTCCCCACACAAACACCGTAGCTATGGCTCTGGGTGGCAACAAAGGAGGCTCATGTTGCACAAGTCCATTTCCTTTCCTCAACGTGTTTGGAGTGCTGTTTTTCTTTGCAGACGGGTGTGTGTGTGTGTGTCTGTTTCTGTCTTTGGTGGCTAAGGACTGGAGGGGTTGTCTTTATAGTCTGATTACCTTGTACAGTGGCACCTCAGTTTTTGAATGTCTCCAGTGACGAACGTTTTGGTTTTCGAATGCTGAAAACCTGGAAGTAAATGCTTCCGTTTCTGAACGTGCCTCAGAAGTCGAACAGCTTGCACTGAGGTACCATGTATTTTTCTCAATTTTCTCTATTAAATTTGGAGACCGCCCTCGGTTTTTGAACATTTCGAAACTCGAACTGTCTTCAGGAATGGATAACATTCGAAAAAGAGGTACCACTGTACCAGGAGTTGCTTTTAATTATTTCGTTTTGATATGTATTATATTTTGCAGTTATCTATAGATTATTTTGAGATGAAAAGTGATTCATAAGCTTAAGACATTTCAATTCCCTCCAAATCACACGACAATTTAGCCCGTTTGGTTCTGCAGGTTCAATTTCTCACCACAAAACTCTTTATACCTACCTTTGGACATTCTCCAACATGCTTCTTACCAACAAGTTTGTTTTTTTCCCTGAATAAGAGAAGAATTTAGGGAACGTTAGCAATCAATTTCCTGTATTCTGGGCTAATGATACTAATAATAAACATTGGTTGGCACTAATAGACCTTGCAAGTCACAGGCAAATGCCCCATTGAGCTAGTTCTGCTATGTACCCTGCTGACAGTCAAAGCGATGAAGTAAAATATATGTGGCATATGGATGGATGAATCCAGTGCTTTCTTCTTCAGTTCTTCATCTTTCCAGTCTTATGCTTAATTCACCCCATTTCCACATCTGTTTGAGTTTTTAAAAAACTAACTAAATAAAAAATCTTATGGAATTCCTTTTTGCATGCATTTTATCCTAATACATTTTTGTATGCCATGTTGCCCAATGTGCATTTGTATATGTTATTTTTAGCAATATTCATATTTTATGTACATTATTTTCAATATACAGATTTTTGAATAATTATTTTCAATATACAGTTTTGAACAATATCTGTGTTTTGGATCACATATTTTGGGGGGATGTACAAATTAGCTGGAAGTACATTAAAATATGAACTGAATTGCAGAGAGTAGAGAGTAAGTTTAATGTCATGTTGTAAGCACCCTGGATTTACACAGAGATCACTGAGGACTGAAGCCTAGCTGGTTACCTTGGCCCAGAAATAATCTCTCAGTCTCTGGCTAACCACAGGGGAATAGTGGTAAAATGGGAATGGTCCCATGTAAGACATGTCCCCATCTTGGAAGTGGGGTGGGATGGGAAAGGGACAGATAAAACAAATTGGATGAGACATCATTATAACTAATTGTAGCCACGGTCTGTTGCCCAGCAAAGAATCTTCTGCATCTGCGCTTCTTACTGGTTATGGCGACACAGTTCACATTCATTGGCATAAGTGTTGCCATCTGTACCACAGACTGGAAAATAAATCCTTGTGCAGCTTATTGGTCCGTTACCAGTTGCCTGGAGGTGTTGGCTGCAATCCAACTATAAAAAGAAAACAACAACAAACATTATATGTCTACACAACGGTTTTCCTTTATATAACTTTTCAATGCTTTCATCCTTTAAAGTTTATAACCAATACACAGGAGAAAAGAGGGTACCTTATGAATCTACCTTTCCTTTTTACATTCCCCATTATTCACAAGGAAGAAGCATGCAGAAGACTGAACCAAGGAAAAATTGTTGAATAAATTTCTCAAGTGTGGACTTGCCTAGGGCATCATTGGACAAAAGGCACAATATAAAAACTGAAACTTGGAATATATAGAATAGCCAGACAATTCTGTGGTGGAATCTAGACACATGTTTAAAAAAACGCAGTGAAAATGCTTTTTTAAAAAATGTTTTGAAAAATATATTGAATTTGCCATAACTCACCATCACCATCTAGTATCACATTTGCATAATGCACTTTACAACACACTGAAAACGTTTTGTTGGCAGCTGTATAGCCGAGTCCTGTGTGTAAATAAAATGTCTTCCCTGTTCCAAAAGCAGTGTGAATGGGGGAGAGCAATGGATTGGTCTTGCTAGTGCATTTGAAGAAGAAGAAGAAGAAGAAGAAGAAGAAGAAGAAGAAGAAGAAGAGGAGGAGTAGTTTGGATTTGATATCCCGCCTTTCACTCCCCTTCAGGAGTCTCAAAGCGGCTAACATTCTCCTTTCCCTTCCTCCCCCACAACAAACACTCTGTGAGGTGAGTGGGGCTGAGAGACTTCAAAGAAGTGTGACTGGCCCAAGGTCACCCAGCAGCTACATGTGGAGGAGCTGAGACGCGAACCCTGTTCCCCAGATTACGAGACAACCGCTCTTAACCACTACACCACACTGGCTTCCTCCTGCCCTTCCCCAACCCCAGAAATCACAAAAATGAAGCATTATTCAAAGAGAAGGTCTCACATCCCACTGAAATGAGTGGTCATATCGCTGCTAATAACTGTGCTCTTCCACAGCTCTCCTTCACTATAATTGCACTGGAGAACTGCTGTGTGTGTGTTTATGTGTCTGCTTTGTTGTTGACAAGGAGCAGTGAGAACACCATCATTTCCCACTTACACTTGAGGAACACAATTCAAATTCTTCTCCATCTGCCAACTTGCAATTACAGTTTTATCTGTATTACACAACCAACTGCAGAAGCTGTAAGGATAATACGGCATTACTCACCGTGTTTGCCTGAATGTCTTCGTCCCGAAGACTCCTGAAAGGAGACCAAAAACACATGGATGCCATATCTGAGCTCTCAAAAATTCAGAAGGAAATCTCTAAAGAGATTAAGAGCTGCACAATGGCTTCAAAAGGTCATAAACAGATGGGAGAATGATCAGCAGTTGGTATACTGAGCGCCAGCCATTTCATATGATTATAAATGTGTGCCTCTAATCAGGTCTATAATATTTTTCCTGTTCTGGGGATGGGTAGATTTGTCCATGTTGCTTCTATTAAGAAGTGTGAATTAAGTAGGCGCACATCAAAATGCAAACCAAACCAAACCTCTCTTCCATCCTTACTTATGGCCATACCTAGGGGATCACAGGACTGGGTCCCAGTACTTTTTATGGATTTGTAAGTAAGGGAATTTCAGTGGGACAGCTTAGCTTTCTTCTACCCTTTCATGGCAGGCTGCACCTGCCAAAATTCCCTCTTAAACTAAATATTTTCTTCCATATCAGGCCAGTCATCTGAGCAATATAAAATACTTTTTCAGAATGTCAGCAGTAATACTCTCTCTCTCTCTCTCTCTGTCTCTCTCTGTCTCTCTCTCACTCTTTCTGCGTGACTCACCTGTGAAGCACCAAAGTGCCAGAGCAACAACCACAAATGCACCCATTCTTCACTGAGCACTGAATGCACCAATGTTCAGATGAGAAGATTGTCTTGTAGAGCAACTTTACCAGCAGGATATCAGATGGACACGTGCAAGCACCTCTATATATATGCACAGGAGTTTACTTTAGATTTCTTCATTGTGAAAGACTTGGCACTCTAAGGACAGTTTCATAACATAAGGAGTTGACAGTCTGGGGGGATTCTTTCCACACCCAAAGGATCAGGACAAGATGAAGGCAGAAGGTAGAATGGTCTTCTCACCTAATTTACTGTTCATATTTGCTTTTCCTGCCACCAAGATAAGATGTACAGTTCCTTTATTTACTTTATCTTTTAAGAGAAATACAACTGGAGAGGGGCATTTGTTCTGAAGCCATTCATAAGTCTTTTCCCAATGAAATGAAATCTTCTGGGAGCAGGGAGAATTCACTGTTAGAAAAATGGTTTCTGAGGTAAACTTTTCTCTTTATCAGTGCAATGAGCACAACAGTGATAAGAACATATTGTCTAATCCTATTACAATCTTGGTTGCCAGGGCTGCTGATGTCTCCTCTCCTGCCCAAAGTTCAGCAAAGTATTACAGCTGACTAGAGGTTTTTATAAGGAGAAAGAAGAAAATTGTAATCGATGGTTAAAAGAACCAGGCTTTTGGTAAGAACTCATTGCTCAGTTGTTGAAGGAATCCAGCTATGAATGAGTATCCAAGGGTTGTATTCACACAAGGATTTCCATGTGATCTATGGAACTTTCTCTCACCTTCCTCTTCCTCTGTGCCCCTCCAAAATCATCACTGGAAGGTGGGTTGAAACACAGAAAAAAGATTTTTGGATTTGGAGGGAATGGGAAAGGAGAGGAAATCCCGCAAACAGAAGTACTTGAGCTAATGGGACCACTTTGTTGGATACAACTCAGTCTCAATGATGGGCCATAGCTCCCTCATAGCAGAGGACTTGTTTTGAATGCCAGAGGTCCCCATTTCAATTCATGACATCTCCAGGTAGGAAAAGACTCTAGATTTAAACACACAAGAGGCATTGCCACACAAAGAGCACAGTACTGAGCTAGATGGACCAGCAGTCTGACTGGATAAGGGAGCTTCCTAGCAAACGCAAGTAAGTGCTGCGTTTGTGAGGAAAGACATTTTTCAAGCACTCAAAATGCATAGTAACACAGGAAGCTGCCTTACGCTCAGGGCCGGCCCACCCATGAGGCGAGCTGAGGTAGCTGCCTTGGGTGCAGGAATCCTAAACAGTGGTGCTGCTAGTGGTGAAATGATGGCAATATGTCACAGATATCTCATGAGATCTCATGGAGCGCACTGTGAGATGTCCACAGCAGTTTTGGGACCACAGTACGAGAGGCTTTGGTGAGGATGGCACTGCGGCGGCAGGGCAGTGTGACACCTTCCCACTTCGCCTCAGGTAGCAAAACCAGTCCACAGAGGGTCCATAGCCTGTCAACTTTCTCCTCCTTAGGCTCAGTGTCGCCCTTTTAGAACTCAGCAGGAAGGATCAGTGGACCAGACTTAGCTGGCTTTAGCTGTCATTGGCTCTTCCTCTGCCTACTACTGGTCTTCCTGTCTTCCGCCAAACACATTTGCCCCTTCTCCTCTGCAAAGCTACACCACTGCAGCAAAACTAACCCTTGCTCTTTCACATGTGGCTATCCTGAAAAGGCAAAGAGGCATGTGGTTTCACTCATTGTTCTCTGGGTCTACCTACCATTTCATCAATAGGACTTCAGTGAGTAGAAGCACCTGCCAGAGGCCTGATATAAAAAATACACTGAACCCACCATAGTGACCAAAGCTAGTTTTCTCATGTGAAGGAGCAGGAGAAAGGATAAGGAAATGTTGGAACTACGGAAGTGAGTGGCAGCTGGAAAGAAGGTGTCTGACAATAGTGGTTTGTTTGAGAATGTGTGAGAAAAAGGATTTGATATTTATGCTGATTGATTCTGGAAGCTGTTATGTTTTCTTTCAACAAAAAAAGTACAGTTGCTCTAAGGATGCAGAAGCAGCCCTACCTGAAATACAAGGGAATTACACAGCATATACAATGATGGGAAAATGGAGAGGAAACATATCTGAACTAACGGGTCAGAGTGCCAATTCTCCAGTGCCAAACAAAATAATATGATGCAAAGAAGCTTACAAATGTCACATTGGTCACTATGGAATTCCCGTTGCAGTCGAAATGTCAAGGAGCGAATAATTCAACAGTGTCATTTACTTTTTCTGCAGGAATATTGTCGTGGGTATCCCAAAGGAGCATGCACTAAGGAGCTTAATCCCCATTGTGGCTCTGATGGCATCACCTATGACAACAAGTGTATTTTCTGCAATGCATATATGTGAGTATAAAGGTAAAGGTAAAGGGACCCCTGACCATTAGGTCCAGTCGTGACCGACTCTGGGGTTGCGACGCTCATCTTGCTTTACTGGCTGAGGGAGCCGGCGTACAGCTTCCGGGTCATGTGGCCAGCATGACTAAGCCGCTTCTGGAGAACCAGAGCAGCACATGGAAAAGCTATTTACCTTCCCGCCGGAGCGGTACCTATTTATCTACTTGCACTTTGACGTGCTTTCGAACTGCTAGATTGGCAGGAGCAGGGACCGAGCAACGGGAGCTCACCCCGTCGCGGGGATTTGAATCACCGACCTTCTGATCGGCAAGTCCTAGGCTCTGTGGTTTAACCCTCAGCGCCACCCGCGTCCCATATGTGAGTATACATTTCACTTATAAAGTACAAATTTTGCATTAAAATGTGAACTAACCTGAAATCCCACCCGCACCTGGCACCGTGGTAGGTGAATAAGGCAAGTTAATTACTGTATATCTTTGCTGCAGCACCACTTTGTAAAATATTCTCCTTTTAAAAATGTCATTTTATGTCAGGTTTTTTTTGTTTAAGGTGAGTTGAGACTTAGCAATTCCAAAATCCACATCAGGGCCACACCTGTATTAGGTCATTATTACCTTTGCAATAACTGTATTATTGCCCCACCAGGGATTTATTTATTTTCTTATGGGCCAATATGTCTACAGTTAATATCTGTGAAAATGGAAGAAGGATTCATTGTAGCATTTCTTTCAAATATTTTACTAATTCTGGGCTGCCTACAAAGTAGCTGTGCTCACCTTTTCAATTTGTACTTTATAGTACTTTACTATTTCAATTTGTACTTTATAGTACAAATCCCTGCTTTTAATAGTATATATTAACGGTAGAAATATTGGCCCATAAGAAAAATAAATAAATCCCTAATGTGGATTTTGGAATTGCTAAGTCTCAACTCAACTTAAACAAAAAAAATCTGACATAAAATGACATTTTAAAATGGAGAATATTTTACAAAGTGGTGCTGCAGCAAAGATATACAGCAATAATTAACTTGCCTCATTCACCTATCATGGTGCCAGGTGGGGGCAGGATTTCAGATTAGTTCACATTTTAATGCAAAATTACCTAATTCACACTTCACAAACCAATACACAAACTGAAACAAAGCTATCCTTCAAATTCCACGTCTTTAACTTTTGTGATGCAGTTTTGCAGCTTTAAAAAACTGTGCAAAAATTTGTTATATTAGAAAAACAATACAATCAAAGTTGGGGGGGGAGTGTGCACAAAAATGTTGGCATTTTTTAATGAAAATGACAGACTGATTAAGTAATATGAGGCACTAGATTTAAGACTGCAGAAATAAGAAAATGACAGAAACCCAAACTGACATATTGATCCATCTCTACTCATCATTGTATTATTTCTGTTTATGGAGTAATGATGAAGCATGCATCTTTTGGATTATCTCACTGAGTTCCTGGTTTTGTTTTTCCTTCATCGGCACAAGTGGAAGAGTACTGAGACTGAGGCACCTTGGAAAATGCTAAAGACTAAGGAACATCTATGGAGGGAAATGTCCCTTGCTCTTCATGCCTCACTCATACCATCACCACAAAGAAATATATTCTTCCTTCTGCTTATACTCTGCTCTGCCAGCTAGTGAATATCTTGCAAGATCTTAATTTGATTAATCAATAAATAAGCTAAGCAGCATTATCAGCCTTGTATTATTCTCTTGAGAATAACATCTCTCAGTATATTTATTTATGTTCTGCTTGTTTAACCTATTATCTATTTTTTTAAAAATTAACCCCCCACTTTTCAGCACCACACAGAAAAGTAATATATTTATGTAATTTGGGGGACAATATAATATTTGGAAGTTTGTTAATAATTACACACCGAGAGAAGGAGTAAAGCTAAACACTCAGCAGAATTTACTCAAGATAAATTTACTTCAGACTTAGATTGCCTGTCAATATGATTTGCACTCATGCATGCATGCATATATGCACACACACACACACACACACACACACACACACACACACACACACACACACACACACACACACACTCAACATCCCTGCTTGTAGAAAGCCAGCTCATTAGGGAGACATCTAAGGTAGACCCCTTCTAGTATGCACTGACCACTGATTCATTAGGGCAAATGGAGCCAACTTCAGCCTCCTTCCCCCTGACTGGCTTCTTACTTACAACCACCCAGCAGATGTGATTGGCTCCAAATCCATCAATTGTTGGTTTCCCTGTTTTCTGCTCTACCAGTCCCAATGGGCACCAGTTCCTACTGCTGGCCTGCTACCTATGAGCAGGAAGCATTCTTCATGAGAAGACACTGATGATGGTAGGCTTTCCCCTTTGAATGGGGGTTGGACCCAATCACATATAAAGTTGGGACAGTATAGTGTGTTTGTGTCTAATTTTAAGAGACCACACAGATAGAACCCATTCACACACACACATATTTGTTTAGCACACAAAATCTTCCCCCTCATGTTACTGTTGGATTAGGAAACCTTCAGATTTGGATGTAGGTGTTTAAAAACTATCCACATCAGCACAGGAGATTGCTATCAACATGGCAGATGTACCCAGCTTGTTAGCCAACAGACTTGGGGGAAAGGCTGGCTTATAAAGCGAAGCTCCCACTCTCTTCTGGTTGGTGGTTAACCCACCAGGTGGACCTCCCCCCTTCCCCTCCCCCTCCCTTCAGGAGCTGCAAGCACTCCTGAGTCATCTTGGAACTGGGAGGGGTGAGATAAAATGTGTCCCCCTGAGCTACCTGCAGGAACAACATTTTTGGAACACTTTCCATGTGCACCAGGGGGACTATCCAACTTTTATTGCTAAAGTTACCGCCTATCATTGTGTAGCCAAAATGGCAACGCACATACACAACCAGCAGATTTGGGGGCATCCTGAGGTTTTCAGAAGTACAGAGCATCTGAGGTGGAGGGGAACCCCCTAAGGTGAAGACAAATGGCCCAAGCATCCCAGTGAGCAATGGACGCTGGTCTATTTGGGAAAGCAGGGCACGGCCTCACCAACCTCAGTCTGCACTCACAGCCCTCATCTTCCCACCTTCTTACTTACAGTCGGCCCAGGTGTCAGGAGGTTGTGCAGATTCCAGGCCCTGTGACTGGTAGGGTCTCACAGGACTGGGGCCTTCTTGAGTTTGGCCTGGAAGGGCAAGGCACGGCTGCACAGGTGAGGCTTGACAGAAGACTCGTAGCACCTGGTGGCAAGGGCCAGGAGGGGTATATAAGACCAGCAGTTCCCTCTGGCTCTTTGCCACAGCAACACGCTTCCTACCTAGCTGTGCTTCGGCTTCCTGACTCCTGGTATCCTCAATCTTGGAGCCTTGGCTTCCTGACTCCTGGCTTCCTGACCCCTGGACTGCTGACCTTGGACTGCTGATTCCTGCTTCCCGACCTCTACCCCGGGCCCGACGTACCAAGACAGGACTCTGACTGCCTGTAACCCGGACCGTGACACCAGGATTGAATCATAGAATCATAGAATCATAGAATCATAGAGCTGGAAGAGACCACAAGGGCCATCGAGTCCAACCCCCTGCCAAGCAGGAAACACCATCAGAGCACTCCTGACATATGGTTGTCAAGCCTCTGCTTAAAGACCTCCAAAGAAGGAGACTCCACCACACTCCTTGGCAGCAAATTCCACTGTCGAACAGCTCTTACTGTTAGGAAGTTCTTCCTAATGTTTAGGTGGAATCTTCTTTCTTGTAGTTTGGATCCATTGCTCCGTGTCCGCTTCTCTGGAGCAGCAGAAAACAACCTTTCTCCCTCCTCTATGTGACATCCTTTTATATATTTGAACATGGCTATCATATCACCCCTTAACCTCCTCTTCTCCAGGCTAAACATGCCCAGCTCCCTTAGCCGTTCATCATAAGGCATCGTTTCCAGGCCTTTGACCATTTTGGTTGCCCTCCTCTGGACACGTTCCAGTTTGTCAGTGTCCTTCTTGAACTGTGGTGCCCAGAACTGGACACAGTACTCCAGGTGAGGTCTGACCAGGGCAGAATACAGTGGCACTATTACTTCCCTTGATCTAGATACTATACTCCTATTGATGCAGCCCAGAATTGCATTGGCTTTTTAGCTGCCGCGTCACACTGTTGGCTCATGTCAAGTTTGTGGTCAACCAAGACTCCTAGATCCTTTTCACATGTACTGCTCTCAAGCCAGGTGTCCCCATCTTGTATTTGTGCCTCTCATTTTTTTGCCCAAGTGCAATACTTTACATTTCTCCCTGTTAAAATTCATCTTGTTTGTTTTGGCCCAGTTCTCTAATCTGTCAAGGTCGTTTTGAAGTGTGATCCTGTCCTCTGGGGTGTTAGCCACCCCTCCCAGTTTAGTGTCATCTGCAAATTTGATCAGGATGCCCTTGAGTCCATCATCCAAGTCGTTGATAAAGATGTTGAATAAGACCGGGCCCAAGACAGAACCCTGTGGCACCCCACTAGTCACTCTTCTCCAGGATGAAGAGGAACCATTGATGAGCACCCTTTGGGTTCGGTCAGTCAGCCAGTTACAAATCCACTGAGTGGTAGCATAGTCAAGACCGCATTTTACCAGCTTCTTTACAAGAATATCATGGGGCACCTTGTCAAATGCCTTGCTGAAATCAAGGTAGGCTACATCCACTGCGTTCCCTTCATCTACCAGGCTTGTAATTCTGTCAAAAAACGAGATCAGGTTAGTCTGACATGACTTATTTTTCAGAAATCCATGCTGACTATTGGTGATCACAGCATTCCTTTCTAGGTGCTCACAGACTGTTTGCTTAATGATCTGCTCCAGAATCTTCCCTGGTATTGATGTCAGACTGACTGGGCGGTAATTATTTGGGTCCTCTCTTTTCCCCTTTTTGAAAATAGGGACAACATTTGCCCTCCTCCAGTCTGCCGGGACTTCGCCTGTTCTCCAGGAATTCTCAAAGATGACTGCCAGTGGTTCTGAGATCACATCTGCCAGTTCTTTTAATACTCTTGGATGCAGTTCATCTGGCCCTGGAGACTTGAATACATCTAAACTAGCCAAGTATTCTTGTACTATCTCCTTAGTTATTCTGGGCTGTGTTTCCTCTGCTGAATCATTTGCTCCAAATTCTTCAGGTCGGGCATTGTTTTCTTTATCGGAGAAGACTGAGGCAAAGAAGGCATTGAGGAGTTCAGCCCTTTCTCTGTCCCCTGTTTGCATTTCACCATCTTCTCCGCTCAGTGACCCCACTGTTTCTTTGTTCTTCCTTTTGCTACAAACATACCCATAAAAGCCTTTTTTGTTGCTTTTAACCTCTCTAGCAAGCCTGAGTTCATTCTGTGCTTTAGCTTTTCTGACTTTGTGTCTACACGTGCTGGCTATTTGTTTGAATTCCTCTTTGGTGGTTTCCCCCTTTTCCATTTTTGTACACATCCTTTTTAATCTTAACTCAGTTAAAAGTTCTTTAGATAGCCACCCTGGCTTCTTTAGGCACCTTCCATGTTTCCATCTCATTGGTATTGCCTGACGTTGTGCTTTTACTATCTCCCTCTTAACAAACTCCCAGCCATCATGAACTCCCTTTCCTTTTAGTATTACTGTCCATGGGATCTCACCCAGCACTTCCCTAAGTTTTATGAAGTCGGCTTTCTTAAAGTCAAGAAATTGAGTCCTAGTATGCTTGGCTGCTCCTTTCCGCTGTATAGTAAACTTCAGAAGAGCATGATCACTCGCGCCTAATGATCCTTCCACTTCTACCCCACTAACCAGGTCATCAACATTGGTTAGGACCAGATCTAAAATGGTTGTTCCTCTTGTTGCTTCTCCCACTTTCTGGACAATGAAGTTGTCTGCAAGGCCAGTGAGGAATCTGTTTGACCTTATGCTCTTGGCTGAGTTTGACATCCAACAAATATCCGGGTAATTGAAGTCCCCCATTACTACTATCTCCCTTCTTTTTGCATGCTTGGCTATCTGTTCCAGGAAGGCATCATCTATGTCCTCCGTTTGGCTTGGGGATCTATAGTAAACTCCCACAATGAGGTCACTGTTATTCTTCTCTCCCTTAATTTTGACCCAAATGCTCTCACTTTGGCTTTGAGGTTCTAAATCTTAAATCTCTTCACAGGTATACACATCCCTGACATATAACGCCACTCCTCCTCCTTTCTTGTCTGGTCTGTTTCTCTGAAATAGATTGTATCCCTCCATTATTACATTCCAATCGTGGGACTTATCCCACCAGGTTTCAGTGATGCCTATTATGTCATATTTAGTTTGCTGTACCAAGAGCTCAAGCTCATCTTGTTTATTTCCCATGCTTTGCGCATTAGTGTACAGACACTGAAGTCCATTAATCATTGCCCCGTGTCTCTTATTTAAGGATTTTTCCTCCTACCACTAGGTCTGCGTGCTGTTTGCTCCATTTGGTCGTATGACATTTGGATGCTCATCTTCATCAATTGATAGACTCCTACCTTCAGGAGCACTGTCTCCCTCCCCCACATTAGTCAGTTTAAAGCCCTCCTGATGAGGTTTCTGAGATTTTTGGCAAAAACATTTCTCCCAACCGTTGTGAGGTTTAGCCCATCGCTTGCCAGAAGTCCATCTTCAAGAAACTGCAGTCCGTGATCTAAGAATCCAAACCGTTCCTGTTTACACCATTTGCGAAGCCAGCTGTTCACTTCCACTATTTTTCCCTCTCTCCCTGGGCCACGTCGTTCAACTGGGAGGACAGATGAGATGACAATTTGTGCATTTAATTGCTGCAATTTCCTGCCCAGAGCCTCGTAGTCTCTTTTGATCTTCTGGAGGCTAATGCTTGCAGTGTCATTGGTTCCCACATGAACCAAGAGGAAGGGGTATTTGTCAGTGGGTTTTATGATTCCTTGCAGTCGTTCAGTTACATCTTGGATCTTAGCCCCAGGGAGACAGCAGACTTCCTGAGATATCTTGCCGGGCCCACAGATCACTGCTTCTGTTCCCCTCAGTAGGGAATCCCCTATCACCACTACACGCCTCCTCTTAGGTTTGGTCGGGGTTCTTCCGTGAGCTGTCCGTTCCAAGGTCGCCTGCACATTCCCTGAGGACTGACTTTGCTGCTTGTCTTCATATACCTGATCGACTGTAATGAGGGAGAGATCCTCAAATGGAGTCTGCTCTTCGTCTTCCATGCTAGGGAGAGGACCTCAAAGCGATTGTGTATTTCTAAACAATCAGAGCGAACCCTGGGCCTCCTACTTCTTTGAGTCACGTTTCTCCATATATCTGGCTCCTGTGTTGGTGAACTAGCCTCCTTCTCAGGGGAGTCCCCTGTCTCCTCCTTGGTGGAGACGGTGTGCTCTGTTGCTTCCAAGAAGAGCTCCAGCTCTCTAATTCTTTGGAGCGTACCCCAACAAACGTTTGAGAACCCCAACAAACGTTTGAGAAAGAGTAGAAGAAAGAGATCAGGCTGTTGATCTTCACACACACACACACACACACACACACACACACATATATATATGGGGGAAGGGAGCGGAGATGGGGAACGGAAAATATGCATTTTATAACATTTAGGCTAGGTATTAGTTAGTGGCTTGCAATGCAGTGAGGTCGTTTCTTCCTGCTGCATTTCAAGTCACAATTTTATGTTGCTGTACACACCAGAGAGGGGGAGGGGATACACATTAGTTGTTTGGTTTCCTCACAACAGAAACTCTCCCTAAACTCCTATTCAGTGAAGCTGTCACCTGGACATGCAATGTATGTCTGAAATGCACACATTTCAGCTTAACCACAGCTTGCTTTTCAAATCAGGTGGAAGCCTATTTCAAGAGAAAGAGCCTTATGTCTCAAGATATTACAGGATACATATGGATTGGACTAATGTCATGCATACTCAGCTTCATGCACCAGTCATGAAACATACTGGAGCCATAGTAAACAGTAATGTGTACACAGCCTCAATTTCCTGGACAGAGAGAGACTTTCTGAGGTCTCTCTAAGAGCTGTATGGAATTGGGAATATAGAACTTCCTGTTACGTTGGTCTCAAGTTTTCCAGGCCAAATTGCCCACCCCAGTGCTATGTCTACCTCATGCTAGGCCTCATCCTACTATCCCAAATACATCACCTTCTTGTTTCTCTGAAGAAACAGTCTCCCAAAAAGTATTTGTTCTATGTCTGTTGTCCAACATGCCTTCACATTTGCCTGGCAGTAACTCCTGAATTACCGTATTTTTCGCTCTATAACACGCACCCGACCACAACACGCACGTAGTTTTTAGAGGAGGAAAATCCGTAGGCATGCCACCCGTAGGCATTCCCTCCATAACACGCACAGACATTTCCCCTTACTTTCTAGGAGGAAAAAAGTGAGTGTTATGGTGCAAAAAATACGGTATTTTTCTAAACGTCCATGGCCATGTGTTATCTCTCTTTCTCTCCCTCTCTGCTTTCCCCAACTTGCTCAAATCTCCTGACATGTATGCTACTGTGAGTGACACTTTCTCGGAAAGGATAGAATATCACACTGGACAAAAATGCTTTTCTTCCTGAGGTTAAAGCCCTAAACCCTACACAGACCCTCAAATATACATGAGCCTGGTATTGAATGAGAGAACAACCAAAATAACAATACATTCCATGGCGCAAAACGAGACATTATAGGAGAGATCAAAACAATGCATGGTTGCAGGTAAGACATCTTTAATGGCAAATCAGACCTTCTTTTGCAACATTTGCTACTAGAGTATAAGGCAAAGAGGTCTCTTGGAAATCTGTCAAGTTCTCAGCACCTTCCCAAATGTTGGAGCGACAGAGCCCCTTTGCTCTTCCTGGAAAGAAAAAGGTAACATATATTGAAATTATTACTGTGGGTAACTGGAATCGTAAAAGAAAGTTATATAAATTTTCTTTTCTATTTTAAGAGCAGCTCTTAGTTTGAGAAACACAATAACTTGCATTCCATCTTGTCCCCTAGAACTGCAAGGGAACATTTTGGTTCCTAATGTAAGCCATTTTCGCCACAGAAAATCAGTCAGAATTCTGACTAGTAAAATCTTCCCATTTAAATAAACACAACAGACATTGCAAGTGGAACTGTCAATATGAGCAGCGTTGTTTCGGAATACCTTACTTCAGCAACATCTGCACTATGCAGCAGCGTACTTTGTTAAAGGTCCCTTCAGAGAGCTACAATTCCCAGAGAATTCCTTATGCCATGGAACTCTGGGAATTGTAGTTCTGTAAGGGGAATAGAGTTTCCTAACAACTCTCAGCTGCAAACAACAGACTACACTTCCCAGGATTCCTTAGGAGAAACCATAGTTTAAAGTGGTATGTATAGTCTGGGTGATGCCATAGTTGCTTGGCAAATCATGGGTCGATCAGTAACACAGACACCATATTTTTGTGAGAGTTTACAAATTAGGAAAAAACTTCAAAGTATAGTCTGGATCAGGGGTCAGCAAACTTTCTCAGCAGGGGGCCCTCAGACCTTGTGGGGTGCTGGACTATATTTTGGAGAAAAAAATGAACGAATTCCTATGCCCCACAAATAACCCAGAGATGCATATTAAATAGAAGGGCACATTCTACTCATGTAAACCACACTGATTCCCGGACCATCCGTGGGCTGGATTTAGAAGGTGATTGGGCCGGATCCGGCCCCTGGGCCTGAGTTTGCCTACCCATGGTCTGGATGGAAGCATGATTATGAGACCATATTTTTATGCCTTTCAACTGACAAAAGTGAATCAAGGAATTTGAATATGTGACTGTATCCCAGCTCTGGAGAATCACTGTTGTTGTCGTCGTTACCTCACACATCTGAGTGGGTTGCTCCAGCCACTCTGGGCAGCTTCCAACAAAATATAAAAACACAGTAAGGATATATGTATGGTGACTACTTCTCATCCTACCAAAACTTTCCCAGTGTCATCGTAAGTAGATACGGAAGAGTTTGGAGGTTTTGAATATATCTTTCTCTTCTATCATGTTATCATCACTTTAATTTGTTTTATAAAAAGAAATAATTATTTCTATACGTACCGGACATTAAAGCAGAAATTACACTGGTTGCCATAGACCTTTCCATCAGAACCACAGTGAGGCATATATTCCAGGGTGCAGTATGTTTTATCTGAGCCAAAGTCCTTGCAATAGTCCTGCAAAAAGAGTGGCATTCTAAATCTGTCACCCTGTTAAATAAAACTAAGTTCCACTTTACAAAAGAAATAGTGATGTACCCGCCAAACTTTTACATTTGCTCACCAGCTCAACATAACTTCTTTTTTAAAGTGCAATTTGTATTCAATTTTGTAGAGTCATGCATATTTGCAACAAAGAAACAAAAACCAAGAAAATGAAGAAATAGGAAATACAACAGCCATAATTTCATAAGCATTATATTATCTCAAATAAGTATTTTGGTTCATGTGAAGCATGTGCTTTGTTATGTCAGTATTCAATAGACTTTACCCAATTCTGTCTAAACATACTAAGTTTATGCCTTCTTTCACTCTTGATACCTTATTAAAAAATTCCATAATTGCAAAAATGTAGGGTTTTTTCCTTCTGATTCTGTTATGAGAGAGATTGATACCTGCCACTCCCAATATCTATAATAACACGATCATGCTGTTTACCTGAATCTGAATACATTGACGTTCATACTTCACAGCCACATTCTTGTTGGATTCCCTGGGTAAGAAAGAGAGAAAAGTTGACAAATTCTTTCCTGTAGTTCACATTACTAAAACAAACTATGTTTAGCTCTTCAGAGCCGCCACAGGCAAAGCTTAGTTCTTCAGAACTGCTACAGGCAAAGCTTGACTGAGCTGGTTCTATAATTTGTATCCTTGAGCTCCTTCATCTGTTACAGATCCTTTGTCCTCCTGCTACACAAAGTTATTGGGACTCCTATGATTCTGCTAAGGAGCCAGTTTCACTTTATCCACAGCATGTAGGCCTGGTTTCACATCCCTAATTAGCGTTGGTGGTTATTGGATTGCATTGCGCCAATCATCATTTATCATTCTCTTGATAACCAATCATTGGATTGTGAGAATACAATGGGATTGGTCTCATGGAAGCCACTGTGTAAGCTTGGAAAGAAGGTGGGAGTGGAAAAGGGCCAAATATAAAAAATATAATGAGATTTCATTATAAAGAATCATAGTCATTATCCGTTGCCTGGGGGGAGATGTTCAGTATCCACTTACAGGTTTTGACGACAAAGATCACATTTACTGACATAAGTGTTGTCATCTGTTCTGCAGACTGGTTTAGCGATTTTGGGGCAGAGCATGAGTCCTTTCGCTTGCCTGAATTCACTGCAATCCATCTATAAAAGAAACATGTAGCATTTTATTGTACCCAGCAGTCCTCTATATAATGTCCTTTGCACATTCATGTTTCCAGTTTGTTTGTTTTTTAATTCTAAACATGGAAAAAGAAGAGTGAACTTTCAATCTACCATTTCCTTTTACATGCCTTTTTATTTCACAGGAGGAAGAAGGAACATATGAATCACTAGAGCAAATAACATTGATAGGACAAAATTATCCATTGTGGCTTTTTTTTACTGAAAAGCACAGGCATCCTGATTTCTTGACATTAGTATATTTTTTGACAATCTAATTCAAGCCTGTTTTTATTTATTACTTGCGTATATTATAAAAAAAGTAAAGTGTACCAGGAATAAAACTTACACCTTGGGGACTTCCGGGTCAGCGCCATCGGTGAATGGCGGAGTTCCTCCGACTGGAGGAACGGTCTCCGTGGAAACTGGGGCTTCCCGCCGCGGCGAAGGCGGGAGCCCACTAGAAATCCCAGGCGGGAGAAGCCTGGGAACGTGGGGTTCGGCAGAGCACCAAAGCGCCTCCCCTACTCACGAGGAAACCCATTTTCGGGGCTCCGGAGTGAAGCGGGTGGAGCAGCGCGGTGCTGCGAACTGATTGCTATTTCCATGGAGGGAAGCCGCGCAGCCATCGCCGGAAAGAGCTGACTTTTTCCTGATGACATTTGGACTCTAAATCAAGTACCCGTGAGTAAAAACGGAGAATTGGACTAAGAAATTTTCAAATTTATGAAATTAGGCATGAAGCGGGAAGGTGTAAACAGGAAGTCCGCCTCCTGCCCTTGTATACAGCTTGAAGCAAAGATCTTGCAACCTAATAGCCTGAAAAGTTCTTTTAAAGTTGGAAATTTCCTGCACCCATAACCAACAAAACCCCCTTGGAAGCAGGAGAAGGGGGGGGGGATTTGACAGCTTAATCCTGCAGGAAGTGAGAAAAGGAATCTAAATTTCCACCGTCCCAAACCTGGGGACGGGGTGTCGGGACAGAAACTGCTTGAGATGTCCATTGATTGAAAGTGGAGTACTTTTGACAGATAGTTAAAAAAAAAGAAGAAGAAATAAATTAACTTCAACGCTACCTTCTGCATTTTTGCTCTTTAAAGAAACAAAGTATTTGAAATTGAAAGAACCTGAAATTGAAAGTAACTTTCTTTGTTGGATACTTTCTTCAAAAAACAACAACAATGGATACAAACAGAAATTGTGTCCCCTAGAGGGAGCCTGTCAGTTTGCGGTCGCAGCTTGCATATGTGAGATTTGGATCGTGGGAACAGCCGTTTGACCTTGTTCTGGAATAGAAATGTATTGGCAGGAAGGTTTGGTGTCTGCCCTTGGTAGGACTAATGTTTTGCTGGAGCAGCTGCACGAGAAAATGAGTCTGATGAATGAAAAATTGGATTTTATGAGTGCTGTGGCCAGCCAACATGATATAACAGGGAATAAGGATGAACCTGGCTTGACAAGGCAAGTCCAAGGGCAGATAGAGGAGGAAGAGGCAGTAGCTATCTATTACACAACACAAATGGAAAGATCCAAAGTTTTCCAGGAACAAAAGCTACTGCGTTGGAAGATTGATTTTGGAGAGTGCTGGGAAGCATTTGAAGTTAAGGAAGCTTGTAACTCCAGTGTGACTGTGAAACAGGTGAATAACTATCTTCTGGATACATACTTTTTGGACTACAAAGATGAAGATTGGGAGTGGGACTGGGGGGAAGGGGACAATATAATGAAGGAAAATGGAAATTATCACTGGATGGAACCCTCCGGAGACCCACTCCCCCAGAAACCAACAATAGACAAAGAACTGCGTAAGCACAAACAAGAACAAAAAAATCTGCAGAAGGGGCCTAGAAGAGATTTAAGGGCCTCGGACATCAGAACACCAGATTGATGGACTATGTAATGGACTGAAAGGACTGATATGACTGAAACCAGGAAGATGGGACGTTGGACGAAAATCATAGAAATTTTTATGATAATTTTGGAATTAGTCTAATATCAATGAAATTTGTCTAATATTAATGAAATTTGAGGGAATATGCTGGAAAGGAACCAAATTGGCTTTAGTAGAAATGATTTTAAGGAGAAATGTATGAATGGGATGTGATTTCGAAATTTTAAGATTTTTAGGATAAGATAAGGTTAAAGATTAAGGCAAATTGAATAACAGATTATATTAAAAGAGGGAAAGGTTATATTGATTAACAAATAAGATAGATTGTGAAGATTAATTATTTAAATTAAAACTGAGAAATATGGGAAGAATTTGCTGAAATAACGAATTAAACTAGAATACAAAAAGGGAGGTGTGAGGAGGTTCAAGAATCAAGCAAATGAAAAGTCGAAATCTGAGATTTGTATTTTCTTTTCTCTTTTTTTTCTTATTTTATTATTTTTTATTTTTTATTTTTTGGGTTAGGGTTGGGGATTTTTTATGTATTGATGAAACTTTGAATAAATATCATTTAAAAAAGTAAAAAATAAAATAAAACTTACACCTTGGGCCTTTGCTGTTGTTTACATATTGTTTCCCAATTCTGCACATGGGGAAATGTCTATCACATTCTTCATATGTGCAAAGCAAACATTTTGCACCCCACACAGATTGGGTTGGTGTGGGATGCAGTTCTGTGCGCTTACACAGAGAGCTCTTAATGCCCACCCCCAAATTCTCTCTTTCTGTAGTAATGGCAACCTCCAGCACATTCGTACCCCTAATGTCCATGTTTGATGTATTGACAAGTTGAGTTTTCAAACTTCTACAATATGGAAGGCATAAATGTTTGGTCATAATGAATCGCACTGTTATCCACCATCAGTAATGCATTTGATTTGGATAGCTATTTAGCTGTATTTTCTTCAGTGTATTAAGGGGTCTTGTGGCTGTCCTTAGAATCATTGGGGGGGGGGGTTTTGGGGGGGTAATCCAGGACTAAGGCATCCTCAACAAATGATGGTCTAGCTTCTGCTTTAAGGCCTCAAGCCTACCACCCTTCTCAGTAATTCATTCATTGTTCAACTGCTATGACCACCAAGTAGTTTCTTCCAATTTCCCACTAAAACCTATCCTCCGATAACTTGAGCATGTTCAATCTAGTTTTGCCCTAGTTCTCTGGGGCAGCAAAGAATAATATTTACTTCTATGCCACAGTCCTTCAAGGATCTGGAGTGCTATCACATCCCTCATCATCTCCAAGCTAAACCTATCAAGTATTCTTTCCATTTGTCCTTCTAGGACCTGTTTTCCATAGTGCTGATGTTCTTAATTGCCACCCTCTGAACCTGTACCAATTGAGTTACATCATTCTTAAAATGCAGACACAGTATTCCAGATGAGGTCTATGTGGAACTGGCAAAGCTAACAGCGAAAATAACAGATCAAAATGATGGACAATTTATGGTAAGGTTACCAGACTTTTTTCAATGAATCTGGGGACACTTTCAACTTCAGTAGGAATGATAGGATTTTGTCAGGGGACTGATTTGTAAATCTGGGTACTGTCCCCAGGAAACGGTGATGTCTGGTTACCTTAATTTATGGAAGAGTGGAAGCCTTTTGGGGATTATTTGAAAAAAATATCATAACCAAATGAAATCGAGGCCAGGATTTGAAATTTGAGCAACAGGAAGAAAATGATAATACATGAAATAGAGGAATATGTATTAGATGCAATGTGAGATATAATAAGGGACTATGTATTAGATGGAGCATGTGATATTATGCAGTATGTGGGAGGAAGGCTTTAAAAACAGCTTGAAAGCAAAGGTGAGAAGTCAAATTACTTATATAGCTCAGGGCCCTAATATGGTACACGTTATGGAACACCTTTCCCCATATTAGCCTGCCCATGCCCTGAGGTCAGCATCAAGACTCTTCTCTATGTGCCTCTCTGGCAGTTATCAGGAAGAGGGTGGCAGCAGGCGTAAAACTAGGCTTTATTTCTCCCAGGTCAAAGACCCAGTTTGGCCAAAACAAACCCCAACCCCCCCCCCAAAAAAACCATGCACATTTTGCACACACACACAGGCTGGGAGCTTCAGTGGAGCTCCTCTGGAGGCTTCACCCGGGGCAAATAAAAAAGGCTCCCCCCCCCCACACACACTGTAGCTATGGCTCTGGGTGGCAACAAGGGAGGTTCATGTTGCACAAGCACATTTCCTTCACCCCAGGTGTTTGGAGTGTTATTTTTCTTCTGCTTTGCAGACATGTTTATGTGTGTGTCTGTTTCTGTCTTTGGTGGTTAAGGACTGGAGGGGTTGTCTTTATGGTCTGATTACCTTGTACAGCAGTACCTCAGTTTTGGAACGTCTCCAATGATGAATGTTTCGGTTTTCAAATGCTGAAAACCTGGAAGTAAATGCTTCTGTTTCTGAACGTGCCTCAGAAGTCGAACGGCTTGCACTGAGGTACCGCTGTATTTTTCTCAATTTTCTCAATTAAATTTGCAGACCTCCCTCGTTTTTTGAATGTTTCAGAACTTGAACGGTCTTTGGGAATGGATAACGTTCGAAAAATGAGGTACCACTGTACCAGGAGTTGCTTTTAATTATTTTGTTTTGAGATATATATTGTATCTTGCAGTTGTCTATAGATTACTTTGAGATGAAAAGCAATTAATAAGTTTAAGACATTTCAATTCCCTCCAAATCACACAACAATTTTGCCCATCTGGTCCTGCAGGTTCAATTTCTCACCACAAAACTCTTTATACCTACCTTTGCACATTCTCCAACATGCTTCTTACCAACTAGTTTGTTTTCTTCGCTGCATAAGAGAAGAATTTAGGGAACTTTAGCAAACAATTTCCTGTATTCTGGGTTAATAATACTAATAATAAACATTGGTCAGCGCTAATAGACCTGGCAAATCACAGGCAAATGCCCCATTGAAGTGTCAGGAGGTGCATCCTACTCACATGTAGGACCCTGGCAGTGACACATTGTTCTCTCCCTCCTGGCGGTCATTCGGGAGACTCAAAATCTTT